GCATCAACTGATTAACCCATTTGTGCCGGGTAAAAATGAGCAAAAAATGGGGAAAATGCCGTGCTCATTTTTTATATTTTTTCGTGAAATATCTCTACACTAGATGGCTCTGCCTTACCTGATTTCACCTTTACTTGAATTGGCGGGAAAATGTATTTTTACTAGTGCTATGAATATCGATGGTTATTTTTATTATAAACTTTATAATTACTATAATGTTATAAACATTAATAACAGCAAAGTAAGAAAACGTAAAATATTTTCGTAAAATAAAAAAAAGGGTAAACAGATGAGACAGTCAATACAAGTGCAGCCATCTATGTGTGAAAACAATTAAACAAGTAAACTCACAGTGGGCCCGTCACGTATACGTGACACCCGGTGTGAATGGGTTAAGGAAAAACACTAGCTTTGTTGTTTTTTTTTTATGAGTTCTGTTTGCTCCCATATATGTGACAAGCAAGTCCCTATGGAGTGCTTGGCATGCATTTTTGTTACCTTGTAGATAAAGGGATAATAGGGCAAAGCAATATACAACTAGGCATTTGTCCATTAACTGCAGAATATTTTATCCTTTTAAATAGTTGTGAAAATATTTTAGAGGTCTTGTATTGTTAAATTTTGCAATTAAAATTCAATTTTCTTCTGTAGGTTACAATAGGAAATATAACTCACAGTGGGCATGGCATGTATGTCCATGCCATGCCCGTCGGCATTGGGTTTAATGGCAATCTTCCATATTGTTGCTAATTGCCATAACCATTATGTCATGAGTCGAGGAGAGGGTGGGCTATAACCTAGTCTTATGATTTTTAATATGTAATGAAATTAACTTAAATTAACAATTATCTCTTCTTGCAGGATATCATAGCAAGAAAGCAAAGCATGGATATGATGATTGAAGTTGCAGATGCTAAGACTCAATATATATACCTTACACCATTGGAACTCAATAAGGCAGAACATCCAAATGTTTACATATACAGGTGAGTTACAAATATTGATACTTATTTCAATGAAAAATTAAGAGATTATAATTTCATGTAATTATTAAAGCATTGTTTGAGTCATTTATTGCAATTCACTTTGATATTGTGAAAGTATTTGTACCCAAAGAAAATATTTTTGTATCTTATATTTCCCAAAGAATGGGAAGAAATTATAAAAAAAAATTGTATTTCAGGATGCCTGATCCAGAAAGAAGAGAGGATGATTAGAAGAGAAATGAATTATTTTGATGAGAGAGATTGTCAGTACAGACAGTCATCAATACAGTGAGATTCAGTGTTAAAACCAACAATTTGATATTGTTATAAGTGGCAAAGACAAATTATGTGACATTCAAATGACTAGTATTATATATGTACGTATTTCTGCATATACATACATATGTACGTAACATATTTCTTGTCCCATTTTTGTCTTTCCAATTTGGGATCTAACAAAGGATCTAGAAGAAAATTTCCAGACCAAGTACTAAAGTTTAAAAGGAAAGGGAGTGAAAGTGGAGGGGATTATGAATAATTTAATTCTTATATTTTTGTTAGATTTTAAATTGACATAATGAAGTTTAGAAATGGTATGTCATTTCTAATAAGGCACATGTTTCATTCGTGGAGTTTGCTCTTGTTTTCCATTCACAATAGTTTCAGTAATTTGTTCTTAGACATGATTTTAGACATGATTGCTAGGAAACATGGATATTTTATGCATTAATTTTGAATTGTGCATGGTCTTTTCCTTGATATTTAAATATATATATATTTTTTTCAATGAAAGAGTAATGTAAATATAATTAAGTTTAGTGAACTGCAGCTGTACTTACTTTACACGGACATTATTTTCTGTTCTGTTTTGTAACAATATTTATCAGTCATTCAATCATGTATTGTTCATTTTTATAGATAGAGAAATGGGATAAAGTTGGAAAATAATTGGATAAAACCAACTCACGACCATGATAACCTATGCAATCTCTCTCTTACACCAGTTTATATACCTGAATCTGTATGTTCAAGAATTGTGGCCTTACTTTATATCTAAAAATATTAAAATTTGTATGTTTGAAACAATGCTTGATATAGGCTTCTATGAATATTATGCCCTTGGGAATAACAGTTGTAATTAAATAGATCACATATTTACTGTTGTTAGTAACAGCTGGACATATATTTTGGAAAGAGGAACATATAACAATTTGTTTTTTTTCTCTCTACCTTAATAGTAACAAAAACAATGATAAAAAAAAGAAAAGAAAAAAAAAAAAAAAAAAAAAAAACTTGGAATGATGCCATTAATAAAAGAATCGACAGCAAGTGTTATTAATGAATACAGTCCATCAGTATTTAATTTTAGGTGTTTTTGGAATTTGATATTTCAGATATTGCCAGTCCTAGTTCAAAGGATTATAAATACCCTAACTCTTGGTAAGTTGTAAATAGAACAACAAAGGGAAGAGCAAGACTTGGAATTGCAAGATATTGCTGCCACAGTTTGTAAAATTGCTTTTCCAGGATGTATTATAAAGAATAGAGGTAGCTTGTATTTGCAATAGTTGTCACATGAACATAGGGGTTGGCTTTTCTAGTATCAAAGGACACTCCATTGCTGGTGAATGGTTAATGGTTACAAAGCAAAATAAATGTGCTAGGGTGGAGAAGAGGGGACAGACATTTGAGGGGTGGAGCAAGAGTTTGATGTAGGAGAAGACTTGATAGAAGAAGGGGTGAAACATTTAACTTGTCTTGAGCAAGGAGGGATATGTACTGGGAAAGTAGAGACAGGAGTGTGTAATAGTTGTGGAGATTTGGATGTCTGGATATAGAATGGCAAAAGAATTTGACTAGGAGAGGGAGGGGGGGGGGGAAAGTGGGATGAGGAAGACTGGGAAATGTAACTGGGGAGGGGGCAGAGTAGAGGAAAGCACTGAAGTACAGAGTAAGAGAAAAACCTCGTCTATATGCTTCCTGTGTGAGGAAGTTTGAATCTGAAAATTTCCACCTCGGATTCATGAATGGGTTGGCCAGTGAAGTCAGAGTAGATAATGCTTCAGATTGGGATTCAGATGTTACTGTGACAAGGCAGGAGCCAGTGCTGTTGCTGTAAAAGGAAACTTTGCCTACTTGCTTTTGGAGGCATTGCTGGAAGAGGAGTGTGTTGTCAGAGTAAGGGGCAGTAGAGGGAATCCTATTAGGCTGAGCTAAAAAGAGTGTTCAAAAGGATTGTAGGGGTGGGGGGTAGTTACGGGGTATGGCCTTATGGAAGGAGTGGTGTAGAGTGAAGTAGTACTGCAAAGATAGGCAATAAAGCTGCATAGTAGTAATATGGGAGAAGGGGGTAGTATATGAAAGCTGTGGGGGTGGATATGGAATAGAGGAATGTTTTCTGGAGGTTGAGCAGTGACCTGGACTACTGAAGCAGCAGTAGGAACTGAGAAGGGAGTGGTGTTGAGTTGTGGTCAAAGGAGAGCCTGGGGTCAGGGACCTGGGGAAATTAAAATCAGGGAGGCTTATTGATCAAGGGCGAGCATCAATGCCCCTAAATAAGGTATAAAACCTTTATTACTGCTCATGGTAAGCCTAGAGTATGTTGAGGGGAGAAATGGTCCACCCATCGTTGTTCAGGACTGGCACAAAGCCAGCCATTCCTCCTTTCAACACAGCTATCACACCTTACAAAGTGGATAGGAGTTGGAGAAAAGGAAAAGGAAAAGGGTAGAGAAGACTGCAAAATTAGATGTCTCTGGCTGAGGCCCAAGGAAGGGATTTATTTTTAAAATTCTGCAGCGTCAATATCCAAGGCCATTAGCGGCTTATTCAAAATGTAGCCATAGCAGGAGACTTGTGGACAAAGCCCCCAGGTAAGGAAAAGCAATATGGTCATGGAGAAAGAGTTAATGATTATGATAAGTGGACAGAACAGGGTGGAGAAAAGGAAGAGGAAAGAAGAAAAGACCGAGAAAAATTAGTTAAGGCAAGGGCTGAGGACTAAGGGGTGATCACATACATTGGGCCTCTGTCCCTGTCTCCTAAGCTCCCCACAACAACGAGCAACGGATTGGGAGGCCAGGGTAGAGATGATCTCTGTCTCCTAAGCCTACCCATGACAACAACAGGCACATCTAAGGTCATTAGCAGTGTAAAAATGTGATAAGGTGACTTTAAATTAATTTTGGTTCCGTAAGGTGATGCCTGTAGACTTCCAGAATAGTCAATGGTTATAATAAACAAATGTGCCAGATATCAATGGTCACAGAGCATTATTACAGTAATGTGGAGAAAAGGGTAATAATGAATTAACAATTAGGATAAGTGGACAGAAGGGGATAAAGAATAGGAAAAGGAAAGGGGGAGAAGAAAAGATGCAAAATTAGTTGAGGGGAAGGCTAGGGGGATTCCCTACATTGGGCCTCAGTCCCTGTCCCCCCCTCCACACACACAAGAGGGATTCCTTGTTCTTCGAGTTCAAGTCACTTATCTCCTTACAGCTTGTTACAACCGTTGCAAAGTATCCTATACACCAACAGCTACACATTTCCCTTGTATTGTACATCCTTACGAAATAACAGAACTGGACCTTGGGAAAGTTTTTTTTCCCAGCTGCTTCCGTTTTCCTCTTTTACATAGTGGCGCACATGTATTATTCACTTTTGTACGAGTGTTTATTAAAATTATAGTGAAAGATGGTAATTTATGGGTCTATAGAAGTGAGGGAGAGGATAATGAAGGAAAAAATTCTTAAGAAACTTTTATTCTACTAAAACATAATTTATTGGTGTACAAGTAGTGATTACTGAATGACTGCAATGATGCATATGCACCAAGTGTTCGATAACTGCTTGCCTTATTGACCTAAATAACAATTATTGTTATAAATCTATACTGAAAATGTGGATTACACATTTGCCCACTTCTACTATCTACTGATACAAAAATACCACAGACGCCTTTTAAAAGGCAAATCTTTATTTAATAAGATATATGTCAAATACTTTTTTACTACTGGTCTGTCCGTAACTATAAATAATATGACAGCAATTTGTATCAGCAAATAGTTATATCATCCAACTCTTGGGATTGGCAATGATTAGCTCAATTAGCACAGCCAAAGGACATCCATGCAGTACAACTTCACTGCACAGTTTCCTTAACCAATCATATGTGAAAGGTTCTGTATTCAGGAATGTTTTTTTTCTGCTTTCACATCTGTGAATGAAGATTTAACCATTTGATATGAATATAGAAGTTTAAACTAACACGAGTATGCATAAAAAATAACTTACATAAAAAGATTTCAAATGAAAAGTGAATAACACTAGTCTATCTATAAAATGAAACTGCTTATTGTCATCACCCAAGGAGATGATGTGCATTTGAGAACTCTGGGCAGCACTAGCTTCTTCATGTGTCAACCCCAAAATAAACTTGCATGTCCAAATGGAAGTGCCCTCATAAAGATTTCTATACATCATAACTGTGCAAAATCTTGGCATGGGATAAATCTTGGGATATGTACATAGGGCATTACATATCATTTTGATTCACTCTGTTTACTGGTGGCACTACTCTCCCCACTCTTGCTCTCTTTGCCTACACCTTCACTCACTGATACCGTTTTTTCTGGGACTTTCTTTACCTCCCCAGCTGATCCAGTAGTCACCTTTTCCTGGGCCATTTTCATGGCTCCTTCAACTTTCTCTTGTTTTATTAGCCTTCCAACTTTTACTTCCCCCTTTTCTTGAATGCTAATTTCTTCTTGATTTCCTTCCTCTTCCTGACTTTCTGGTTCCTCTTCCTCTTGTCCCTCAATATCCTCCCCTTCCTCCTGTTCCTCTAAGCCGCCTTCTTCCTGGCCTTCTAATTCCTCCTCTTCCTCCTCCTCCTCGTCCTGACCCTCAAGTTCTTCATCTTCCTCACCTTCCATTTCCTCCCCCTCTTGGCCTCCCATTTCTTCCTGCTCAACCCCTTCCTCTTCCATTTCTTCATCATCATCTTCATATCCCTCCCCAGTTTCATTTGCATTTCCACCTTGTCCATTTGCCTGCTCTAACTTCATGGCTTTGATTTCAGACATTTCTTCTAGATCCTCCACAGGCTGGCCAAGTATCATGCTTGGTTCTTCTGCTGCACTTTCCATTTCTTTTACCAGTTGCCTTAGCTTAAAATTAGATGATATAGCAAATTTGTTGTACTCCGGAATGGACATAGCATAAACATACATGATTCTATCTTTGGTCTGTACTCTCTCTCTAGGGCACTTTGCTTTTAATTTGGTTTGGAAGGATGTTCGAGCATGTTCACTCTTCCTTCTGCTGAAACATGAAGAGGTACTGTCAATCAAAATGGGTACATCACCATACACAGCAGCCTTTGACAACTCTTCATGAATCTTCTCATCACTTTCATGGATGAGTGTGGTATACCGGAAACCATACTTTTCAATAGATCTTGACCATATTTTCTTGGCGATGAAGCATTCTAAGTACTTGGGTTCAATCTCTCTTACTCCTTCCTCTGCATCGTGATCTAACTCGTCACACCATTCTCGTATTTCACAGGTATCTTGATGCTTGTTGAACCACTCTGTCATTTCTGCTGGGGACATGGATACTATTTTTTTTGCATTTATCTTGCATACATGACAATACATATTGGCCACATCATAGTCCAATACAAGGCCTGTGGTCAGTTCAATAACTGCCCCAGCTACAAGGCAGAAATCACTACCCCACTGGTGATACGTGGTTGTAAAGGCAACTGTAAGATCAATTAAGCCATCTGTTTCTAGATGGCTCTTAAAAACTTCTCTGACAATGCCAACAGAAAATAGCAAGCTGTCTTCTGTATCTGTAACAACGTCATTTATGACCTGTCTTGCATAAACAATAAATGTGGCCTCATTAAGGCATCTGGCATTGAAATACTTGCAGTAGTGACGCAGGCCACTGTATCCAAGGCCATTGTCTAAAAATGCAGCAACATGTGCATAATTTATGTTTTCTGTTTTCTGAAGAATTGCATCCTTCTTTTCTCGTTTTCTTTTCCGTTCACGAATCAGGTTGGGTGTGTTTGTTGATTTGCTATCCTCACAGACTGTGCAAGACACAGTAAACTCTGAAATCATGCCCTTTGTGGTTGGCCTGACCCCTATTCTCACTGCCTCTCCACACTCTCGACATGCTACCAAGGCACTCAGGG